CCCCCCCCCTCCCCCCCCCCCCTCCCCCCCCCCCTCCCCCCCCCCCTCCCCCCCCCCCTCCCCCCCCCCCCCTCCCCCCCCCCCTCCCCCCCCCCCCCTCCCCCCCCCCAAAAAAAAAAAGTTCGGGAAACGCTTGATGGCCCAAGTGCAAGCGAGCGCATGATTCCACGCAAGCTAGCTGCCGCCTGCATGAAGCCAATCCCCAATCCATGAACTTGTGACTTGTACACCATGGAAGATGCCGAACCCGAAGAGGCCCGGAAACCAGCGATTCCGGTACTAAACTTGCCAAGTACGAAGTTTGGTTTCCAAAGCATCGGCTCCTTTGAACTACGATGCCAAGCCTCGGTTCTCCTGAACTGCTGTTCCGTCATGACTTCTGTGAATGCTTGCCCCCAATGTCTGGCGATTTCCACAAACGAACAATACGATGCGACTTTACATCGACTTTACACCAGTACCCCCGCCCCCCGCCCCCCCCGTCCTGGTAGTGTGCTTATATATACGTATCTCGGCTATGGACGCTCAAGCGATGGGTGCTCTGGTAGCATGGACGTGCTGTTTTCTCGCGTGCTGTCTCTGATTCATGCTTTTCTCCTGTTGTTCGGAGGTTTCTGATTTGCTTAGAGCGCGTCCAAAGCTTTCACCAGCCATAACGGAAGAAAGTATGTTGACCGCCCTGACTTGGCCTCCGGATTCACGACTTTCTTTGGAGTCTCCAGGCCTTCAGAGTCTGCCTCGGACAGAAGGCATGTACACAGTTGCACTCTGCTGCGCTAGTCTTGGTCTGCCTCGTGAAGGGCATTGAAGCCATACTCTCCATAAGCCATGTCGAAGCAACCTGGCTAGCACAAACGCGACTTGTGAGTTGTGCCTGTGCGTCCGTGCGAACCCTTGGCAGTTCGCAAGCTATTGCTGGGAGGCACCTCGTGAAAAGGGTTGGCCAAGGACACCCAGTCCAGCAGTTCCTGACAGAGGACACTCTTGGGAAGATGGGGGCGTGCTCCCAGAGTGTCAGTCAAGCTCTGTGGCATACCCTTGCAGGGGCCTTCAAGGGAATGATGGGAAGAAACCGCAGAGCTTCGCGAGGGCCGTGGGGGCCAAGTTGGTTCCAATCCAAAGTCTAGCAAAGGATCCTGCGATGGGCCATGGGAACCCCATAAATTAACGGCAAAGCATCACTGGCCTCGGCCCAAAGTCTGGGACCTGCAAAGATGCGCACCATCTCTCGACTCAGACCCAAAATGAGCCAAACTGTGTGGTTTGTAGCACCAAGGCCTAGAGGGTCTTCATCATCGAAGACGTCCGGATATCCTGCATCTCCTGAGCCAGAATGAGACCAGTTTCTCGGTTTCCTGTTCCAAAACCTCCTCAATCTAACCCCCCCCCCATGTCTGGCCGAACCGTTGGTGTGAGCCTCACATGGAACTGCGAGCTAGTGTGCCCGCTGTTGGGTTGATGTACTCGTCGCCACCTCCCACCTCCTCCTCGCCTATCTCCACCTCCTCCTACTCCTGCTCGTCCTCATCGCCATCATCGTCGTCATCCAAAGCCGTTTACTACCATCAAATCAGCCCCTTCAGCCGACACCTCTGTTGGGCTGCCTGGCAACCATTTTTCGTTCTGCTGTGCCATGTATTTCTTGAGAGCGTCTTAGAAGAAGGCATTGTGCTAACGAGGGCGCGCAGCTGTGGACGTTGTCAATTCGAGAGCTAAACTATGCAGAGCAACAGATCTGGATGCTCAGGCACACCTCCACAGACAGAGACAAGCAGGCACAGATGGAGTAGGTAACCCCTCACCTCTTCGCACTAGCAAAATTAAAACGGAGAGGGAGGGGGCTCGGAGGCAGGGAAGGGCGAGGAGGAAGGTACAGAGAGGGAGAGAGGGAGAGAGAGAGAGAGAGAGAGACAAAGAGAGCGAGCAAAAGTAACAGAGATAAGTGAGAGTAGCTGATAAACAGCAAGAGGTAGCCTGCGTTGAAATACCAAGCACGAGCCAGCCAGCCTCGCAGGGCAGCACCGTCGCTGTGGACCACAACAACCTGAGCAAAACCACAACACCAGCCGCGCTACTTAGTATCACACAGTTCAAAATAATATGCATGTCAGCTTGTCGCACTCTGTCCAGCCTCGGACGCTGCAGCAGAGCCTGAGGGAAACAAGCAGCAACCCTAAACGTTCAGCAGCCCTCCCCCCCCCCCCCCCCCCCCCAAAACCCAAAACCCAAAACCCTAAACCCTGATCTCTTTCTCGTCGCGAGGCTTGTGGCGAAGGTTTCGACGGAACTGAATCGGTCCCAGCTTCCCTCGCTTCCTGGCTGCGTTTGCTTGGGGGCTTTCGATGGGCCCCTGAGATTTAGGGTTTAGGGTTTCGGGTTCCAAATATTCCAAGTGCTGTACTTGGGGTTCCTGTGCAAACGACGGCAGCTACATCAGAGCACCTGGATTGGTGCCATTGGCCATCTGGAGGTAAAGTGGGCCGATGGCCTCCACAGCCTGGGAACTCATCTGTGCTCTCGGCTTTCTGTGTGGTTTCGGGTTTGGGGTTGCACTGCATTTAGGGTTTCGGGTATTTAGGGTTTAGGGTTTAGGGCTTAGGGTTTAGGGTTGTGAGAGTTGCTTCTTGGGCTGCAACCATCGGCAGGCGAGACCTGCAACACTTCGAGTGTGCCGTTCTCGTGTCTGATTTGTTGCCACCCCCAACTGCGGGTGCATGCTTTGGAAACGCCGCATCTCAGTTGGCAGGTTGCTGCTTCGTATGTGCACATGTGTGCAAGTGCGCGCGTGCGCGCGTGGGTGTGGTGTGGGTGTGGTGTGGGTGTGATGTGGGTGTGATGTGGGTGTGATGTGGGTGTGTGGGTGTGTATTAAACCTGACTCTCAGGGTAGGCTTGATGCAGTGCGTCCCAGTGCAGTTATACAACTAGCTGGGGGCATGGGAGGCCCTCAGAACGCCCATGCTAACAAAGACCTTTCTGAGTGGCTGGTACTATGAGCTGGGCACGCCCAGCAATTTCCTGCAAAGATGCCCACCCGAAGTACCCTTAA